CAACACGCGCGTCCTTATCACTATATATATATATATATATATATAATATAGATATATATAATAAACCTTGAAATATCGATCTGTTTTACGAAGCTGCATCCCACTTCGGGTGCCAACAACTGCGCTTCACACCGGACGCCTTCGGTTTCTTCAGCAACCGAACATAGAAGCTACAACCGTATGCCTACTAGTCCTGCGCTCACGACACTATCAGTCGAGATCTGCTGCCACAGTCCCTCGCCCATGGGCGCAACGAACAGCGTTTGCTCAAATTGGCTCGCCGGACCAGGCTCCTACATGTGAGTAGCCTAAAAGCTCCACCACTACTGTTCAGGCATCTTATAAAGCTCTTGGCTTATTGGCTTTTTTGTCTGTATATCAGTTGAACGGAATAAATGGAAGGTGCCTCTATTTCCCAATGATCGAAAGTGTCAGCGCTACCAAAGGAACCTTAATCAAAAAGTCAAGATCCAACAATTGTGAAAATATTAATACACAACAATAGTTCGTCCACAATACCCGACCCATAGCTGCTGTGTAGCTCGGTTTACCGAGAAGCCGGGTTACATGTGACGTTCTAGTCAGTACATTTAGCATGACTCATTTGAAGACGAGGGTGTGTCAAACCGCTACTCAAACTAAGGACCAACTTTGTGTTCAGGTAAAATTAATCACTTAACTGAACTCAGCGTGTCCATACTCAGGTTGAAAAATAGCACCCGAAGAAAAGCCAAAGGTAGTGGCCACAATTCCATTGCGGAACCCATATCAGAGAGCATAAGTCAAAGTATGCCACAAAATAATACGACTACAAGTGTGACCATGAAATGTCAAGTGACAACCGGAACATATGCGTTATGGTATAGTTAGAGTCAAGATGATTATTCACTGTCTGTAGGTGTGCTCCAGATAATGAAGTAACTGAATTGAAATAAAACGAGCGAACCAAATGACAGTGGAGTGAACAAAACAGCGTAGCGGAAAAAAGCCGGAGTACTTTATGTATGAAACAGTCACGTGGCCAGGTAAGTGGTACCAAACTAGACAATGTGTCGTCGAGGGACATATCAAATTCATACATTGTCAGAAAAGATGGAAAATAATAACAGTAAAAAAGAGCACTAATTTGCCCAGTACGACGGTCCTCATAATCACCACAGAATATTGCGCACACGAAAGAGGCAAAACTAACGGAGGGACAAGAGTATACATATTTTAATTTTTTCTCCTCAGAGTGGAAACCACAAAGTATTTGGAGAGACCAGCCACTTTAGTACGTTTGAAAGAAACAAAAATACTCACCACAGGAGTCAACGTCCCTCCTTTGATCGATTTCTTCGTCAGCGTGTTGTAAACCAAAAGAGATAGCAAGCCAATACTGAGAAACATACATATGGTAGAGAAGACCACACCACATGTGAACCATGCTTTCCACGGCACAAAGTCAAAGCGACACAAGACCTGGAAGAGTTGGTTCAGTCTCTGTGTGAAGAATCGGGCTTGCAGAATATCGAAGGAAATTCCCAATCGTGCAGTGAATTCATAGTAGCGTTGCCGCGTGTACGGGTTGGAACGAAGAATGGTATCGGTCAAATAGACCGATGCCCACAGTCCGACGAAATAGGAGCACCACGTCAGAAACGCCATAACTCACGCAAATAGCGGAGTTCTGAAGATGTTCAAGCAAGTTGGGGTCGTATCATAGGCAAAGATAGATGGATAGATCAAACGTATCGATGAACGAAAGGCTGGGCAGTAAAAGGCGATAAAATTGCCAAGCCGTCGGGTATTGATAATTCACGTGAAAATCAAAATAATCACCTGGAGAAGAATGAATACAAATTGTTACCAAGTATGCCGTTCTCAAGACAAACTTTGGGACCAAAAAGGTGGATATGCAGGAGAAGCATCAACTGGTCTGAATGAGTTGTGAGAACTCTAAGACGATGGGGCTAAAAACAGCCAGGTCAGCATATAGCCAATCATCCTGAAAGCCAACTAGCCGAAATTTTCGTCCATGCCAACAAGCGTCAACTATGTCCGTTCGCCAGTTTCACGACGAATTCTGCCACCTTTCTTCCACTGGAAAAGTGGTTTGAAAATGATTGTCGTCGAGACTATGATCGAACAGAGTTGACTTGTTTGATACAACTGAATCAGGGTATCACACCCTATGGTCTTACAAATACTTACCGTCATTCTAATTCTGGTCACTCCGGGACAATCAAATAGATTCGCTGATAAAGAGTCCTCTGTGACAACACTAAAGTCAAAGTGACAGCTGATTTGTTACGAGCTGGAATATGGCGCCAGACCACAGCCTCGCATTGTTATGCAGGCCACACACTGGGATGAAAAAGCTATCCAGGTTAAACCCATTGCGTGTCTGCTAAGTAACGCGTGAGTTAACGAAATTCCACAGATGCCGCCGACTCGGTCAGTCCTTCGAAGGTTGGGGGTTCGCCCGTGCAACCCGCCCTCAACCGTGTTCGCCCAGCTAGTGTTCAGAATTGGGGTGGTCAAACAAAAGATTGGCATGATTGAGCGACGGAGCGGACGTCGAATTCACCTGTGAGTAGGTACGATCTTTCTGGTTCAAAACTCCACAAGTGGACTACAGCTGAAGACCACAACACAATGGTCAAGTTATGTATCCAATGAAATGTCGATACCCATAAGATTGATTTACACCCAAAGCTTCTGAAGTAAAAAACTGGATGATGAGAAAAACCTGCTGTTGGCCTGGGGCGAGCATTCTGCAATGCGTTTCACACTAGCACTTAAAAAATTTAAAAATGAGGGAGCGCCAGTGGACCTTATTGAAACCTTCTTGTTAAGCAATCAAGCGACACCTTACCAAATGTGTCAAACAGCGACTCACTCGCGGAAGAGCTTTTTGGGTGTATCCGCATTTATAAAAAGGAACGTGCGAAATGCAACGACAGTTCAACCGCTATAATAAATTCACTCACACCATTACAAGTCCGGTGATTCGGTTCTGGCTAAGGAACTGAGACGTCTTCAGGTGTTCGACAATCGTTGTCTCAAAACCATAGCTCGTGTGGGTTGGTGTCGGCGAATCCGTAATGAGGCAGTTAGAATGTGCGTTCTCGGTTGTGCAACGGGTACTTCCATAGAAGAACTTGTCCAGCACTAGAAACTGCGTTGGTTGGGACATGTGTTTCGTATTCTGAAC